CACACACACAGTGTCACACACACACACACACACACACGTTTTTGCGGCGCTACAAAAAAACGACTGTGTCAGTGTATATATTTCCATGTTCTTGCGGTAGATTCACTCATTTTTCTCATCCTATCAATGGAAGTACCATAAGGCCAGCCGCGAGGCTGGAGACTTAGTACAGCCATCAACTGTTGCAAGACAGACCCAAGTTCGAATCCAGATCCAACTGGAGGAACAGTCTGAAATCATTCTAACTACCTGGGCCCGGTCCGTTCAATGATGATATCTCAAGGCCGTGGCACCGAACCTCCCGCACCATGTGTCGGGTCATATGGCCACCGCGCTTCAGGGTTACGCTGCTATGCGCCTTCCTGGTGCTATCCGCCTTGAGGGCATAGCCACACCACTCTCMAAATGTGCAAAATGAGAATGAACTTCCCGCTAGAATGTGGCCAGATGCACCCGCCACGTTTTTGTCTTTTTCACATTTCCAGAGTGGTATGGTGAGGCCCTCATTCATTTTTGGCTTATTTTTCCATGTAAATTTTTCGAGCCTACTTGCGCTCGGGGGTTACTCTCTCTTCCTCTTGCCGTCGTATCTCCCTCCTCCCCGCTTTCGTCCTTCTTGTGTGTTGCATGGCCTTGTTATCTTTGGATACGAACCATGGGCCTCACTCCAGTACTCTCGAAATGTGCAAAGCTCTTCCGCTAGAACATGGAAAGATACACTGCCATGATTTTTGTCTTTTGTGCATGGAGCGAGGTTCAATGGGCCTCGCTGCACTACTCTCCAAATGTGCAAAGTGAGACTGAATCCACCACTAGAACATGGAAAGATACATTGCCATCGTTTTTGTCTTTTGTGCATGTGGAGAGTAGTGCAGTGAGGCCCCATATCTGCCCCTTGCTGCCTTGTTGCATTTCACATGAGGTGTTACCTCTGTCAGCTACTTTTTCTCAGGCCATACTCACACTAGGACTTCCCCAAATGTACGTGACCTCGTTTCCTAGCCCGACAGGATGCGTCTAAGCACTATTACGTCCACAGAGAGGTGGAAAAAGTCCCAGTGTGAGTGACTATGCCTGTAGGGTCTCGCTCCACTCTTTACCAAATGCGCAAAATGAGAACGCATCTTCCGCTAGGACAAGGTAACATACACTGCCATATTTTTTTGTCTTTTGTGCATGTCCTGCGTCGTCGAGCGAGACCCTTAGGGGCTCGCAACACAGGCTATCTAAAACCACGTTTTCAACAATTTTGCATCACCACACAGACTTTCAAAGAATTGCAGCTCAAACAAATTTCGACAGGTGTCAGAATGGTACGCTCTACAGCCACCCTCCCCCACTCGTTTCCTCCCGCCTGCAGGAGACGGATATTTGAAAGTGCCCCACTCTATGAATCCCCCGCGGCCGTGGTCACCACGGGCAGGACCGCGGCGTCGCGGTCTGCCACGGCCCGCCGGTGCCGATGGGAGAGGGGGTTGGGGGTGGGGCTTGCAGATTGGGGTTCCGGAACCCCGACCCTACACCCTTGAACAAAAAAACATTAAAAAAAATAATTTTTGGGGGGGTGTTTTTTGGTGTGTGAAAAAAAATAAAAACTAAACAAATAAATATTGATTGATTGATTGTTTTTTTTATTGATTGATTGATTGATTGATTGATTGATTGATTGATTGGTGGGGGTGGGGTCCTCACTCCCCTCCCCCCGGTACACACACACACACACAGACAGACACACACACCCGCGCGCGCACACACACACACACACACTGATACACACACACACATGCACACGCGCGCACACACACACACACACACACACACACACACACACACACACACACACACACACACAAACTAGCGCGTTCATTTTTTTTTGTTTTCTTATCAATCAATCAATCAATCAATCAATCAGTATGTGTGTCTATCAAAAACAAAAAAAAGCAAAAAAAGAAAACAGAAAACGGCTTTGGTTTTTCTTTTCATTATTATCTTTTTTTTCGGGTTCACAGCCACTTGAAACTTCGGGCAGTCAAGAGCATTCAGAGTGGCTCTTGCAACCCTTTCAAGAGCAGCTCTTGAAAGATTGGAAACCCCAGCCTGCAGCTCGTGCATTTTCAGGCGTCCTTGGCTGAACCCTTGAGGGACTTTCGATTTTCAAGAGTTGTCAGGCCGTTTTCCTGACGCCATTCAAGAAAAACAAAGTTGTACGACTGTCGTTTTTCATCCTTCGTCCAACACCATCGCCCTTTCGAGATTGCTGTGTGGCGAGGGGCCAAAATCTCTTGAAAACCCAACTCTTGAGAATATCTGACAGCTCTTGAAGTGCGTATTTCATGCGATCGTGGATTGACCACCTATTGGGCCTCGCTGCACTACTCTAAGACTCTCGAAATATTTTGAGAGTTCGACTAGCATTGTCAGAGAGGTGAGCCTCTCGAAATACCTGCCGTCGCTGCGCTTACTCTCAAACCTGTTACAGTAGATGCACTCTCGAAACCCCGACAAGTTTTGTATATGCTAAAGTTTTGTATACGACGCTACGGGGCGACGCCAGGCTGGTCTGGCTGCCGGGGCAGGAGGTCCACTCTTGAAAAACGAGCCCGTCGGCAGACTTGCAAATTCGTGTTTTGCAGGGGGTGACTCTCCATGTTTCGAGAGTGGCCCTATAGCGTGCCTTCTGACAGCTCTCGGGTTTCGAGAGTTTCCCGATCGAGCCTAAGTGCAGCGATGACCCACTCTCAAAACTTTGAGAGTCTAGAGTAGTCCAGCGAGGCCCATTAGTCACACCACTCTTGCAACAGGGAAATGTTTCAAGAGCTGTCAGACGATTTCAAGAAATGCATTTTCGAGAGTTTGGGCCCATCGCCACACAGCACTCTTGAAACGGCGACAGTGCTGGACAGATGCAAAAAGACAGACCTACAGTTGCAGGCTGGGGTTTCCAATCTTTCAAGAGCTGCTCTTGAAAGGGTTTCAAGAGCCACTCTGACTGCTCTTGACTGCCCTAAGTTTCAAGAGGCTGTGCGGCGATGCAGCCACTCATTTTCAAGAGTGGTGTAAAACTCATTTTCAAGAGTGGTGTGACCAGGCCGTTACCCAGAGCTTTTTTTTATTAAATAAAGTGGCACCGTTCTTGAGATATCATCAATTGAACTGAAGGCAACCAGAATTTTAGGATTGCCTTTCTCGGGAAAAAAAAAAAAAAGAATTGTAGGATTTCACTCTACAGCTTCTTCCTTTTTTTTTTTTTTTTTTTTTTTTTTTTTTTTTTTTTTTTTTTTTTTTTGGGGAAAAGAGAGGATTCTTATTACAAATCAATAGTCTCGAGCACGAAAAAAATAGATCAATAATATCTTCCTCTTGTCCTCCTCCTTACTGTTCTGCAGCTTTTCTTTGCTTCTGACGTCACTTTTAAGTGTCCTTTTTTGTCCTTCGGTACGTCCGTTAAAATTGGAACGATACAGAGAAGATTAGCATGCCCCTGTGCAACGATGACACGCAAAAAAAAAAAAAAAAAAAAAAAAAAGTGTCGTTTGTTGTTGGGGAGTCCGTCGTTGTTGACTGTTCATGTTTTTTTTTTTTTTTTTTTTTTTTTTTTTTTTGGGGGGGGGGGGGGGGGGGGGAAGCATTTCTCGATTTATGCGTGTCATCCTTGAAAGCGCTGGCGCCATGCTATGTTAATCTTCCTTCTCTGTATCGTGCGTGTCATCCTTGAAAGCGCTGGGGCCATGCTATGCTAGTCTTCCTTCTCTGCCTCGTTATGCTAATCTTCCTTCTCTGTATCGTGCGTGTCATCCTTGAAAGCGCTGGGGCCATGCTATGCTAATCTTCCTTCTATATAATCTTAACAGCATGGGCCCAGCGCTTTCAAGGATGACACGCATGATACAGAGAAGGAAGATCAGCATAACGAGAGAGAAGGAAGATCAGCATAATGAGACAGAGAAGGAAGACTAGCATAGCATGGCCCCAGCGCTTTCAAGGA